GTAGGAAGGGCTCGACGGGCTGGGTCCATCCCGTAGTTTGGGGACCCCTGGTTTGGACAATTCTACACTCCTCCCTACACATTCTCTAGAGTTAGGGGCACAAGACCCCCCTGAATGTGGAAAAACAGGAAATAAGAAAAACACTATGTTTTTACCTGAGATGACACCTTTCTAGGGATCTCTAGGTCCTCCAGTGCAACTCCGTAATCAACATCTGCCAGACACTGACTGTAGAATTGCACTGGAAGAGCTACAAATATCTAGTGGAGTGTTCTCTCTGGGAATCTCTAGGTCCTTCAGTGTGACTTTTGGTTCAAGTTGACCATAGAGTTGCGCTGGAGGGCCTAGATATTGAGAACATATTAATCAAATCCATGAATAATCAAATCCACAAGGAAAGGATCAAGGAATCATCCTCTTTCCTGTCTGTCTCTCTCTCTCAATTTCTATCAATTGATTGTGGGCCGACCTGCAGATGAGGACATGGTGAAGAGGCCTGGCTGGTTCTGGGTCTTCCCGTTTGGGGGATCAAGATGTGATGGGATAATCGGTATGCTCAGGAGGAAGGGACGAAATAGTTTGTATCAATACACCCTGCAGTCACCTTTTTCCTTTTTCTTTAAAAAGTGGTCTCAACTTCCAGATCATAAATAATAAACTAGAGAATGCAATTCTGGGTGGATGTAATTCTGGGCTGTGTAGAGTCCTGATTGAGGAAAGTAGTAGTACTACTCTGTTCCACTTTGGTCAGACCTCACTGGGAATACTGTCTCCAGTTCTGGGCACCACGATTCAAAAAGAACATGAATAAATGACAAGCTGGAACAGTCCCAAAGGAAGGGTGTCCAAGATAACCAAAGGTCTGGAAACCAAGCCTTGTGAGGAACCACTGACAGAGGGGATATGTAACCAGCATGGTGTAGTGGTTTGAGTGTTGGATTAGGGATTCATCTATAGATTCTGTACTGTAGAAACAATGCAGTTTGACACCATTTTGACTGCCATGGCTCCATCCTACAGAATCCTTGGATTTGTAGTTTTGTGAGGCACTAGTACTCTTTGGTAGTGAAGGCTAAAGACGTTGCAAAACTACAAATCTGGGATTCCATAGGATGGAGCTACATAACTTTAAGTGGTGCCAAACTGCATTATTTTTTATAGTGTAGGTGCACCCTACAACTCTGGAGACCAGGGTTCAAATCCCTACTCAGTCACGGAAACCCACTGGATGATCTTGGGCAAGTCACACTCTCTTAGCCTCAGAGGATGGCAGGGTTAAACCCACCCTGAACAAATCTTGGCAAGAAAACCCCATGATAGGTTCACCTTAAGGCCACCATACGTTGAAAATTATTGAAGGCACACAATAACACTATGTAGTTACCTTTCAATATCTGAAGAGATGTCATACAAGAAGGTGGAACAAGCTGGCTAAAATGCAAACCAATGTATTTAAATTACAAGAAAAGAGATTTCACCTAAATATGAGGAAGAATTTCTTTACTGTAAGAACTGTTTGACAGTAGAAAAGCAGCCTGGGGTGGGTGGGTGGAATTCTTCTTTTTAGCAGGCCTTTAAGCAGAGTTTGGATGGCCATCTCTTGGAAATGTGTTAGGTGTCTGCTTTTGCATGGCAGGGTTAGACTAGATGATCCTTGTGGTCCCTTCCAACTCTAAGATCCTGTGATTCTAGAAACCTGTTGAGGGAGGATTGTTTTTGTGATGTTTCAATCTGCCAGTTTGGTCCAAAGAGCCCAGAAAAACAGGTGTGAGAAGGGCAAGTAAGTGAGGAAGGAAGCAATTGCCTCTGCAGCCTTCCCCGAGTGTGAAGATCCTTAAGATATGATAGGATATGGGCCCCTATCATCTTCTTTTTTTGCAAGGTGATGGATGCTGTAGTCCAGCACAACTTGAGGGCACCACATTGGGGAAGGTCACAGAGGTCGCTCCTTTTAGTTTCCCATTGAAGAACAGGTTTGAGGTAAGGCAGGTCTCCTGCTCCTTTGATACTAACTTTGCAGAAGGTGGGATTTCAGCTTTCAGGCTACACCAAAAACCTTAAGAAGCTGCTTTATAATAAGTCAGACCACTGGTCTATGTAGCCCAGTATTATCAGCTCTGACTGGCAGCCATTCTCCAGGGATTCAGTCAGGCTTTCTTCTTGACTTCCATGGAAATCCCTGGCTTTTGCTGCTGGCCACTCATCCAAGTGCTAACCAGGCCTGACCCTGCTTAGCTTCCAAAATCAGAGCACACTGGGTCTTTTCCAGAGGTGTAACTACAATGGGGCAAACTAAGATCACCCCCCCACACACACAAACGTTCCTTCAGTCCCCATATTTCTAGCATTGCAGAACTTCAAACTTCAATCGAGCCTTTAGAGAGAGACAGTGGAGGCATTCAAAGAAAAGAGGCAGGCAAAGTTCTTAAGGGGACGCCAACACAGCAAAGAGAAGAGGCCTAGATGGGACCGGGTTTTCAGTGTCTCACTCTCTCTGCAATGCTAGAAATTTGGGGATTGCAGGAACAATGTCATTTGTGGGGCAGAATTTGTATTTGGAGGGGGAACAAAGCCTTTCTTTAGTCCCTTTCCAGGTACACCCTTGGCCTCTTCGAAGTGGTATAATGCCAATTTCCCAGTCTAAACAGGTATGAAAGGAGCAGGAGTCCAATTTTCTGTCCCCAATCCCACCAGCCTGGGTGCCTTGCTTTAAAGCAGTGGGGCTGGGTGCAATTGAGGAGGACCTCCTAGCCATCCAAGCTTGTTGTGAATGTCTCCCAAATTCCAATGGGTAGCACTTCTACCTACTTGGAAAAGAAAGAGGGAAGCCTACAGAGGAAGTTTGGCCAACTCAGTCCACCACACCTGCTCTTGCAGCCCCACTGAAATAATAATAACAACCTGCACCCTAGCATGGCATAGTGGTTTGAGCATTGGACCAGGACTCTGAAGACCAG